GAGTAATGTGCTTTACCTGAATTCTTATGCAAAACGAACCCAATAAAAACCGGTTTGGTCGGTAAATTGGCACGCTCCCCACTACAGGAGGTGTCCATTCCATTCCTACTTCTGCACAGAAACTGGTCTGTCTCTGTGCATGTTTTTTTCTCACGTTTCGACGAGCCATCCGCAGCGTTCCGTGATCACTGCTGGCAGGTGACCCACACATCAGGTGCTCACCCTTCGTAGCGAGGGGCCCCGCCACCGTCGGACTTCCCGCCGCCTTTGCTTTCAGGAACGGAGGAGCCGCTGGCTGGGTGGGCCGGGCGCCACCCTGCGAGGTGACAAGTCATGGGTTTGATTCTGCGTCAGGGCACAGGTCCGAGTTGTGGGGCAGGTCCCCAGCTGGGGTGCCTGGGAGAGGCACCCCATGGCATTTTTCTCACACCTCGATGTATTTCCCCCTCTCCTTCTCCCGTCCTCCCCCTCTCCCTACAAATAAACAAGCAGAACTCATTAGAAGAGAGAAGGAAACGGAAAAGCTGACCCCAACACGCACAGGGAATGTCAGGCGGAAACCACCCGGGGAAGGACGGGGCTGGGCCCTGACCCCCTGACCTCACAGCCGCAGCGCCGGGCCTGAGCACAGGCAGGGGCCCCCGGACGGGACGGATCTGGGGCCCAGGAGTGAGTCCACGCTGCCAGGCTCAGCTCGTTCCCCACGAGGGGCCAGCCGAGACGTTCAGAAACGGCGCTGAGGCGCTGGACATCCGCACGGAGGGGCAGGATGCGGGGCTGCTGCCTTACACACCCTGCCGCAACTACCTCGGAGTGGATCACGGACCTAATAGAAGAACTGAAACGGATAGAAAGAAATGCAGGTGTGGCCCTGTGTGGCCCTGTGTGGCCGGGGACCAGGCAGCGGCTTCTGCTTTGCGGCGGCAGCAACAGGAGGGGACTTGCGCCTCGGCAAGTTAGAGGCGGGTGAGCCTGGGAGGTCACTGCCGAGAGCGAGCGAGGAGCTGTGCGGTTCGCGGGTGCGGCAGGGTCTGGGGGTCGGACCGGGAGCCGACCTCGGCAGCGCGACAACCAGGACCGCGACGGCCCAGGAGGAGACGGGCCGCGGAGGCCCGGAGCCGAGGGTCCCCATTTGCGCAGCGGCCAGCGAGCGCCCTGAAGGAGCTCAGCTCCGCGGGTGGCCGGGCAAAGGCACGAGAAACCCGGGCAGTGAGGGGCGGCTGGAGTGCGGCGAGGACGAGGCGGAACCGAAACCCTCGCGGCTGCGGGCGGGGGTGTACGCGGCGGCGCACCTGCCGTGGGCAGCAGCCCGCAGTCCCTCCAAGAGTCAGACACGGGCTCCCCGCGTGGCCCCTTAACGCCGCTGCCAGATGTGAGGGGCGGAGAAGTAAAACGCGCGTCCCGGCAAAAGCTCGCGCTGGAACGCCTCTAGCAGCATCGTGCCTGGTCCCCGAACGTGGGAGAAGCCCGCCCGCGCGCGGGCGAACGGACGCTCGCGGGGGGCGGGGGGGGGGCTGGGGGAGGGCGGGGCGTAAAGCTCAGTGGGCGTGTCCTTGCCACCCAGGGCCGGCCAGGCGTGAAAGGACACGGGCCTCCCCCAGCTGCCCCACGGATGCGCTTTGAAAATGTGACGCTCGGGGACACACGAGGAGAGCACAAGGCCACGCGCTGTGTGACTCCACTCGTACAAAACGCCCCCAAATCAAGGAGCAGGCTGGTGGTCGAGGGCCCGAACGCCTGGCTGGCGCCCCCGAAGGCGGACACAGCACGGGCGCGCTCCGACAGCCACTCGGTGGCGCATTGGCACTGGCGGGGTCGGTGTGGTGCGGTGTTCACGGGCTGAAGAACTAAGTCGTGCCCTGACTGTGTGGCGCAGTGGGCTGGGCATCGTCCTGCAGAGTGAAGGGTCGCCGGTTTGATTCCCGGTCGGGGCACATGGCTGTGTGGCAGGTTCAATCCGTGTTGGGGGGGGGGGGCGGGCATATGGGAGGCACCCAATCAATGTTTCTCTCTCACAGCAATATTTCTCTCCCTCTCTTTCTCCCTCCCTTTCCCTCTCTCAAAGAATAAATAAAATCTTTTAAAATAATTAAATTGGGGCAGCTGGCTCGTGACACTGAGGGTGCATCCTTTCTCGCCGCTGCTCTCTGGATGCTGACGGCTCCTGCCCTGCGGACTCCGGAGAGGAGGGTGATGGAGCGCAGTGAGTGGCACCAGGAGGCTGGGGATGAGGCAGCCGGGCCGTTGACGGTTGCCGTTGACCGGCGGTGCCCACAGGCAGCGGCAGCCACACCGGCACTGGCCTTGGCCTGGGGCTGGAGGCTGGGGGGGAGAGGCACACCACACAGAGGGACGCTGGCCTCTGCACTCCCCTGAAGGGCTGCTGGCCTCCATCCGGAGCCGCGTGGATGCCTGAAACCTGCCGACACCTGCTCCCACCAGCGAGTGCACCCGCTCCTCCAGGGGGAGGTGGAACAGCAGCTGCACCCCGGAGACCCCACCTCCCTGGGCATGACACCCTCTTCTTCTTTGGGGACAACTTCACTGAACGGGCACCACCCTTTCGGGCACGGCACCCCACACCCACGCACGTGGGCTCACAGGAACCGTCCCCAGGGCGCCCTTCCACGGGCCCGGGCCAGGGCTCTCAGGAGCATCTGCAGACGCAAGCGCTGGTTCCCATGACCCTAGAACACACGTGAGTCTCACCCCAACAGGACGGCCCTGGCCCGGCCCCAGGACACCACCCAGCCCTGGCACCATCTCCGTGGGCCTTGGGACGCAGCACCTGGCTGGCGAGCGATGGTGGCAGGCTGTGTTCCGCCTCGACGCCAAGGTCTCCATCTGCCCCTTCCTCAGCGGGCCCTAGAGGGCAGCTGGCCCCGGTCTGGCCACCCTGGCCTGCTGTTTCCGGGCCAGAAGGGCCCCGGGCCCCGGGGAGTGGGAGGGCTCACATCCTGGCCTGATGGCAGATGGGAGGCGGACACCAGAGTCGGGGTCCAGGAACACAAACTATGTACAGGGTCTGGGCACTGCTGCCCTAAGACCTGCTGGGCCGGGCGATGTGGGACGGGTAGGCCTCCTCCTCGTCCTGTCCCCAGGGCCCTGCACCCGCCAGTGGCCTCTTTCATGGCCAGGGTGGGGATGAGCTCTTCCTGGGTCAGGGTTCTGGGTCACAGGGTCAAGGTGGCTCACACACTGCAGTGACAACAGGGTCAGAAGGTGCGGGGTGGGCCCGGGCCCCACCCCCAGAACCCGTGGGCTCTCCCCTGCAGGTGTCCCTCAGTGTCCTTGCCGTCACAGGTGAGGCCGCTCCGTGGGACACACGGCTCCCGCCTCCCCTCGAAGCTGAGGCTGCCACACAGGTGGCCGGGAGTGTCCCGCTGCTGCACCACACAGGGCAGAGTCAGTGTCAGGGCAGGGACACCTCTAAGCCCCTGCTTCCCACAGGCCGCAGGGATCAGACAGCTCCCCTTTCTCTTGCCCACCTGGGAGAAGAGCAGGTACACGTCGGCTAAGTGCTTGTCGGGCGCGGACTGGAGCGCCATGCACGGGCCGGCACCCACTCCCGTCCCCGACACGGACCCAGCAGAAGCCCGGGCACCCACACACGCAGGCCCCCACACAGGCTGGGTGCCCTCACAAGCTGGGCTGCACCCAGGCCTGCGGGCCCGGGTGCACACCTGTCCTCCCCGTCACCCTCGTGGCTCCCCAGACACTCTTCCAGGGGCCAGGGGCTGACTGGGAACTGGTCACAGGCAGGTCTGGCCGGAAAAGGCTGGACTCCACCCCAACCTCAGTGTTGCTCAACCCTTGTCCCCCTGTCTCCTGTTCACTGGGCTGGCCCTCAGGAATACTGCTGTTCATGAAAAGACACTAAATCATAATCTGTACGTTATGTAAGTCACACTAACACAAGTAAAACCTCCTCAAACACGCCACTCCTTCACCACACACCCCCCTCCCCTGCTCCAAGGCCACTCCTGCCCCTTTAGTGGCCACCGGCTGAACAGCAGCACCAGGCGGAGCAGCAGCCAGGGCACTCGGGGTCTGCCTTCACATCCAGGTGGGAGGGATGCCCCCAGGCATAGGCCTGTGCTGCCAGCCCAGCAGGACCCTGGCAGCTCTGTCCCAGGCCCCGGGAGGTCTCCCCAGACCAGGCCCACCAGGGCCGGGCTCACTCTCCACGCCCAGGGCTGCCGGTGCCCCGCGGCTCCCACAGTAGGGGCAGCCTCTGCTCGGCCGGTCCAGGGGAACTCAGAGCCACGCCGGCTCCTGCCACAGGACGGCATTCCTGGGGACGGGCGGCAGCTGACACCTGTGAGGGGACACAGGGCAGATGCTCGCGGGACCACAGCCCGGAAGCTGCAGGAGGGCCCGGCGCTGGAGACTCCAGGATCTGGGCCCCCAGGGAGCCCTGGGGCGCCGGGGTGCGGGTCTGGAGCCTTGACCCAGCTGGGCTGCAGGGTGAGGGCCAGGGTCCCCAGGGGCAATCCAGGCCTGGGCCACCAGCACCCCGCACCCTCCTCCATGCAGGAGAGACCTGCGGACCGCGACCAGCACAACTCCACCCTCCTATCCCCACGGAGCAGCGTCCGGCTCCCACGAGGCACCCAACTCCACCTGGAGCCTGGACGTCAGAGAGGGGCATGTGACAGTGGAGGAGGGGTGGGCTGTGGGGGCTGGGCTGGCCCTGGGCTGGAGGGGGTCTGTGTGACCACGTGCAGGGGCCCTGCATGGGGATAGTGAGGCCTGCACAAGGGCTGGGGAGGGGGCCGGGAGGGGGCCTCCGGGCAGGAGAAAGCCCCAGGACCCACTGCAGCCCCGAATGAGCCACAAGAGCCGTCCTGAGTGAAGGGGCAGGAAGCAGCCGTTACCCTGCAGGCTGCCCTGCACTCTGTTCTCCTGTCAGCTGACACTCGTGGGTTTTTCCGCCTTCTCGCACCCAGTGAAATCAACAATTTTGAAAACCCTAGGAAATAGAAACTCCTGAGAAATCAGAACTACCCCGGAAAGGGAGGGGCCCCGAGCACTGCCCCAGCACCTAAAACCACGCTGCTCAGGGCTCCGCTTCAGGAAGCTTCCATCTTCTTCCCTTGAGACCACACCTGCTCCCCAAAGCCAGAGATGATCAAGGAGGAACACGAGGTGGCCATCATGGGGGCGCCCCAGGGCCCAGGACCCGTGGTGTCCACCGTGGTCAACATCCAGACAGAGACGGCCGTGCCCGACCACATCGTCTGGTCCCTGTTCAACACGCTCTTCTTCAACGTCTGCTGCCTGGGCTTCGTGGCGTTCGCCTACTCTGTGAAGGTGGGTGGGTGCGTGTGTGGGCCCCCAGGGGTCCTCCTGCCCACAGGGCCCCGGGGACTGGGGAGCTGTTGCACGTGTGTGTGCACATGGGCGTGTACAAGTCACAGTGAGTCTGTGCCGGGGACATGGGGGTGGCAGGGTCAGCCCTGGTCCCCAGGACTCCAAGTAATTCCCTACTGACCATGCCAGAAATTAGCTCTCTCAGTAAGAATAAAGGGGCTCCGACGCCCTGACCCCTGGTGGGGTGAGGCCAGCAGAGGGACCAGGGCAGGGGGAGGAGGTGCCCTGGAAAACCTGGAGAGGCTGAGGGGCTCTGAAGGGAGGGACCCCCTGGCCCTGACCTGCTCAGGCTGCAGGGAACAGGCAGAGGGGGGTCCTGATCTGGCTGAAGGGCAGGGGGAGGGCTCTGGGCGGGGACCAGCAGGGCAGGACCTGAGTCACAGAAGCTGGCTCTCCCCAGCTCCACTCCAGGCCCCCCTCACTGTCTCTCCTCCCCCAGTCCAGGGACCGGAAGATGGTGAACGACGTGATTGGGGCCCAGAGCTACGCGTCCACCGCCAAGTCCCTGAACATCGCGGCCCTGGTCCTGGGCCTCCTCGGGACCATAGGATCCATTGTTCTTGTGGTGTTGGTGTTGCCGGCAGCCTACCATGCAATACCACCGGGCATGCAGGGTAGAGGAGGCTATTAGTTATCATCTCCGTCATGGTAATTTTTATCATTGACTGGCTCGCTGATGATATGGAAGAAACTTTGATGTCACCAAGAGTTAGGAGGCTTCTGGTGGCTGCCCATAGCCTGAGGCTGTCACCTCTTCACAGCTGTTCATACCCACATGCGTCCCCGACCGAATGCAATAAAGGACATGCACCTGACAATGTTGTGCTCTCACCTGGGGAGGGGCCCCGTGAGAGCCCCAGCCTGTCCCTGAGGCTGAGCCCACCCCACACCCGGTCCCACCTGCTTGCTGCCCTGGCAGTGGGGTGGAGCTTGTCCTCAGGCCTTACCTGCACCTGGGCCCCAGCTGGGGCAACAAAGGGAAAACTTAGGGGTGGGGGCCTCTCCTTCCCAGAGGTCTGAGCCCTGACCCAGGATGGGAGCATCTGAGGCACACAGGCCCTGCTCCAGAGCACCCTCGACCCCCAAGGTCCCCATCAGCTCCAGAAGGCTGCAGGGGGCATGACTCCAGGAGTCCACAGGTCTCCTGGCAAGACAGCCCTGGATTTCCCTGCTCTTCAGGTGGAAGAGAAACCCAGCCCCAACCTGGACGTAAGCTCCCTGAGCTGGAAGTCAGCTCTGAACCTGGGTCTCTCAAGGCTTCCAGATGTCAGGCACTAAGGGGTGGCCAGGGCAGACCCAGCCCACAAGCAGTGGGGCAGGAGGGTTGGGAGCCTGGCCGGCCCAGCCTCCCCCTTACTTCCTGTGTCCTGGGCCCCAGCTGTGGACGCCGCACACCCTGACCCCACACCTCCTTTCTGCTCCCCACAGCGGCGCACTGACTCCAGGAGTCGGCTGCGTGTTGGGATCTCCAGAATAAGCCACAGGTGTCACGCTGCCGTGGGAGCCTTTGCCAGGGCCGAGGATGCCCACGGGGCCTGGGGCTGCCCTCAGCCCGCCCGGCTCCCTCCCCGCACACCCTGAACGTCACCACGGAGAGACTGGGGGAGTCCCTGGGGGCACAGGATTGTGTCTGGGACGTGAACCCATCTCCACATGAGCCTTGTCCTTTGGGGAACTGGGTGTGCCCGGGCTGCAGCTGTGGGCTCTGGTCTGTGGTCAGCAGGTGCTCCTGCTGGGTTCTTGTTTGGTCTCAGCACCTAACTCTCCCGTCCCTCCCCCTGGCAGCCCCTGTGGCACCCTGACTCCCAGGCCAAATGCAGACTGTGCTTTGTTTGCGCTGGGCGATGCCTAGCGCGAGGGCACCCCTATATCCAGGGGTCCCACGTCTGAGCATGAGGGGGTCAGGCCCAGGGAAGGGGTCCTGCAGGAGGGGATGCTGGCGGACCTGTCCTTGTGGGTCAGAGAAGAATTTGCTCCTAGGGGGACACGGGAGGGGCGCCGTCACGTGACCGCGATCCCCGCCCGGGTGCCCAGGGCCGGTGGTACATCCTCTGCCCAGTACCGGTCTGGACGTGCGCTCAGCACTGCAACGACCCGCAACGGCCCGCATCTGAGCGGCTGTGACTTGGGACAAAGGAGCCGCTAGGCGGAGACCTTCTCGCGCAGCCAGCAGACCAGCCGCGCTCGGGAGACCTGGGAAAACCACACGAGCGCCTGAGGCTTCACGCAGGCGCAGTGCAGGCCCGTCGAAAGGTCGAGTGGTGGTCGCTGGGCTCCCGAGGGCTCAGCCCGGAGCTCCCGGAGCCCTGGGAACCGCCCCAGCAGCTTCAAGTGGAATGTGGGTGGACGAGGCGTCACCTACAGCAGGGTGGGCGTTGCCAGGACGGTGGGCGGGGCGGACTGCAGGCCCGAGTTCAGAGAGTTCTCAGAACCCGACTGCGGCGCCGAACCTGGCAGGTGGTCGTGGCAGGAGAGGGGCGGAGCAGCGCGCGGCTGCGCCGGGAGTTTGGGCGAGGGCGAGTGGGCGTGGCCGGTCCGAGTGAGGACCCGGTGTCTGGTGGGCGGGGCCAGGCGTGGGCGGAGCACCGGCTGGTCGGATCGGCGGGCACCCAGTAGTAGGCGGCAGAGGAGCAAGGGTGGGCGCAGGTGGGCGTGGCTGGAGAGGGGTCCGGGAACCGAATCTAGTGAAGGGCCAAATGGGAGGGGCGCGTGGGGACGGAAGTGTGGGCAGGGCAGAAGGGGATCGGCGGGGGCGGCTGAAAGGTGGAGGCGTTGCTGGTGTTTGCCTGGGCGGCCTTCGGAGAATGTTCTCTTCCCCTTGCACCAGCACGGAGACCTGGAGGGAGACGGGGAGGCCGGGGTACTGCGGACGCTACCCAGCCCGGGTACAGCCCTTGGGCCGAGCGGTCTCCGAGCAGGACAATGTTCCTGCGCAGGGGGTGGCCCCGCCGCTTTGCCCGGCGGACCGCGGCCCTTCGGGACTGATGAGGGTGTGTGCACAGTCGCACGGGCAGGCCGGGACTCCCACAGGTCCCCTCCCCAGGTAAAAACACAACAGTGTACATGCTTGTCCTTTATTGAATTCAGTTGTGGACACACGCACTTATAAACAGCTGTGGGAAGGGTGACAGCCTCAGGCTATGGGCAACCACCAGAAGCCTCCTAAGTCTTCATGACGTCAAAATTCCTTCTATATCATCAGCAAGCAAGACAAATGATGAAAATTACAATGACGGAGATGATAACTAATAGCCTCTTCCGCCCTGCATGGCCTGCACTATTGCATGATAGACTGCCGGCATTAGAAACACCAGAAGAACAATGGATCCTATGGTCCCGAGGAGGCCCAGGACCAGGGCACAGATGTTCAGGGACTTGGCGGTGGACGCGTAGCTCTGGGCCCCAATCACGTCGCCCACCATCTTCCGGTCCCTGGACTGGGGGAGGAGAGACAGTGAGGGGGGCCTGGAGTGGAGCTGGGGAGAGCCAGCTTCTGCGACTCAGGTCCTGCCCTGCTGGTCCCCGCCCAGAGCCCTCCCCCTGCCCTTCAGCCAGATCAGGACCCCCCCTCTGCCTGTGCCCTGGAATCTGGGTTGGTCTGGGCCAGGGGGTCCCTCCCTCAGAGCCCCTCAGCCTCTCCAGGGTCTCAGGCCACCTCCTGCCCCTGCCCTGGCCCCTCTGCTGGCCACATCCAACCAGGGGTCGGGGTGTGGGAGTCCCTTTGTCCTTTCTGACAGAGCCCTGGGATTACGAGTGAGTCTGAGGGATGTGTTCCTGGGCCAGTCAGTAGGGAAAAGCTGGCAGCCTCCCTGTGACCTGCACACCCACATGCACAAGCAGAAGGGTGTCCCCATCACGGGCCATCTGAGCAGCAGACCCCGGAGCTCACACCCACTTTCCTCACAGGACCACACACGCACCCACCCACCTTCACGGAGTAGGCGAACGCCACGAAGCCCAGGCAGCAGACGTTGAAGAAGAGCGTGTTGAACAGGGACCAGACGATGTGGTCGGGCACGGCGGTCTCAGGCTGGATGTTGACCACGGTGGACACCACGGGCGCTGAGATCTGGGGAGCCCCCAGCACGGCCACCTCGTGCTCCTCCTTGACCACATCATAGGACGGGGGGACTCCGGCGTGGGGGCCAGCGAAGAACTGCTGCGAAGTGCGGTTCATGGTCCCTACACAGAGCGGATTCCTCCGGCCCCGGGGGTGATGAGAGCTCAGTGAGTGCTTCCTCTCCTTGGTACTTTCGATTTCTCCAAAGTTTCCTCTTGTAGCTTCTTGGGAATTGATTGGCTGTGCACGAGGAGGACCGCCACAGTAGAGTGTCAGGTTACACAGGTGGGGGGCGGGGGAGGCTGAGGGCCTGGGGGAGGGGGACTTTGTGTCCCCACCGCTGCAGACAGGCCTTGCCCCAGGCACACTGGTTCCTCCTCTGCAGGATGATGGGGATGACTGTGCAGAGTGGGAGTCACTCTCCTGAAGGGGAGCAGCGCTTTCACTAGCAAGTATGCTTCTTGTTTTAATTTTAAAATATTTATTAATCCACTTAAAAACAACAATTGTATCCCTGGCTGGTGTGGCTCAGTGGATTGAGTGCCAACCTGAGAACGGAAGGGTCACTTGTTCAGTTCCAGGTCAGGGCAAGTGCCTGGGCTGTGGCCGGGGCACTGGCTGGGAGTTTGGGAGACGCAGGCAGGCATGACACCCCCACCCCCGGCGGGCTCCCACTACTCGGTGCCTGGGATTGTCAGGACGCCAGCAGCTCCCATGGAAGGGCCATGCCTGCTGTCCAGACCCAGGTGGGTGGGTGGGGGTGCCTGGGAGTACTCCCTGGGGAAAGCTGGACATTCTGGCCCCTCAGCCCTGCATAGGACCTGTCCTCACCCCTACCAGTGCACAGGGATTCAGACTACCACCTCCGGGTCACAACAGCCTGAGTGCTTCAGGCAAGTGTCCCAGGAGGGGAGGTGGAGCTGCACCCCCACCCTCCTGCACCCTGAGTGAAAGTGAGGCATGCACGGAAAGAACTCAGACCCTCCTGCATTTAGCTTCCTGGTTGCCAGGAAACGCCTCTTAGCGCTCAGGTGGGGTGAGTAGCACACCCAGGCAGGGAGGAGGAGGGGGACGGGTCTCACCCACCCACTCAGCAGCCCTGTGCCCGGCCGGCTCACACCGCCAGCTGTCCGGCATCCCAGGAAACACTGTGCCAGCCCCCCCCCCGGGGGAGGGAGCCCCTGGAATTCCGTGTATCGTCCCCACCGTCTAGGGGAGACAAACTGTGCTTTCATCCCAGGGCCTGGAGTGCGGAACAGGGGCCACCGCGCCCGAAGCAGCAGCCCCCAGGTCACCCTGAGTCCAGGCCCCAGGTTGGATGAACTGCCCCGTCCCGTGTCTGTCTGACAACGAACAAACGAGTCTGGAGCAAGAAAAGGGTCCGAGCTCAGAGACCCCCCTACACACACCTGAGTTGGGGTACTCAGGTTCCCGCTGCTGCGCCCCCCTCCCCGGGAAAGCCAGCACCGCACTTATCTGTCCATCGATGTGTAACTGTTACTCCCTCCCGCCAACTGTGTGAGTCCTCAGAACAAAGGATGCACCCTCTTGGCTCCTCCCTTTCAAGCCACCAGGCCTCAGGTTACCAAGGCCCTGGCCACCCAGGGATTTCGCATGCTCGCCTTCAACCACCAGTAATTTTACCAGGCTGCTTTGCCCTGAAACTACGCCCTCACCCCTCACACTGGCTAGGCCTGTTCTCTTCCATGGGCACAGATCACTAATAAACTGATTGCACACCGATAGCTTTGCTGATCTATACAATTCTTTGTATGCATCAGTAAGAAGAACCAGGTCTCTCCTGTCATCAAAGTGTCCAAGGCCACCCACTTCTGGCAGCACCCAGCAACAGTCATGACCCCATGTTGCTGCCCCAGTTTACATGTAATCACCAGGTGGGAGCCCTGGTCCCCCTCCTGCCCTCTGAAGCTGACCTGGTTTAACCTCTAAGGGAACTGGCCTACCTGGGCCCTCAGCTGCCAGTGCCCAGTGGCCTGGGTCTTCAGGACAGGGAGGGGCCCGGCCCCTGCATTCCCAAAGGCCCGCCCACAGAAGGCTTCAGCTCACAGCCACCCACCCCAGGCTGCAGTGCTCACCTGTCTGCAAGTCCCTCTGGAGCCCCACCCACCACCCTGCCCAAGCCTGGGGGCCTGGAGGGGAGAAGGGCCAGTGTCAGCCCTGGTGGGGACACCCCAGGACCCCCAGTGGAAGGGGTCCTTTTCCTCCTGACTACCCTGAGGCCCGTGAACTCCCCTAAGCATTTGTGGATGCTCCAGTCCCTACCATAAGGCCGGCATTTTGGTCCTTTCTGCCCCTGGGAAGGGACCCTGCAGGCACCTTTCCTACAAAAAAGAGAAAGAACACAACAGACAAGGAAATGCCTGTCCCCTGTGGGAAAGAAGGCCAGTGGCAGGTGCCTGGGGGCCACCTGCGTGGGAAGCCCTCTGCTCAGCCACCCCCTCCCACCTTTATCTAAGCTCTCTGCATGGCCTTTGCTTAGAAAACACAAGTGTTTGCTTTGCAAGATGAGTCTGGACAGAGGCAGAGTTGTGACAGACACTGCTGTCCAGGTGTCAGGGAGCCTGGGTCACCCTCTGGGTGGCAGGGTGGGCAGAGACGGCCCCTCACGTGGAACCTACAGGCTTGGCCTGGCCAGTTGGCCCTGGGCCTTGGCAGGGTGGGTGTCAGTGTCTGGGGCCCTCAGGAGGTGTGGGTGAGGGTGGGGGGCCCACAGCTGGGGCCCAGGACACAGGAAGTAAGGGGGAAGCTGGGCCGGCCAGGCTCCCAACCCTCCTGCCCCACTGCTTGTGGGCTGGGTCTGCCCTGGCCACCCCTTAGTGCCTGACATCTGGAAGCCTTGAGAAACCGGTAAAGAGCTTATACTTTTAGTATTTTAAACTGATAAGAACAGATACTACACTTCATCTTACCCAAAAGGCTGGCAAGTGACCATTTTCAAAAGATGTTAGAGGGAAGGAAAGGATAAGGGATAAACACCAATGTGTATGTGTCTCTTTTTTGCCCCTCACCAGGTACCTGGCCTGCAACCCAGGCATGTGCCGTGACTGGGAATCAAACCGGTGACTCTCTGCTTTCAGACCTGCAGTCAATCCACTGAGCTAACCACACTATTTTCAGCTAAGGCCTGGGTTTGTCTTCCACCTGAAGAGCAAGGAAACCCAGGGCTGTCTTTCCAGGTGGCCTATGGACTTCCGGAGTCACGCCCACTGCAGCCTTCCGGAGCTGATGGGGGCCGAGGGCATTCTGGACCAGGGCCTGCATGCCTCAAATGCTCCCATATTGCATTAGGGCTCAGACCTCTGGGAAAGAGGGACCCCACCCCTAACACTTTCCATCTCTTGCCCACAGCTGGGGCCCAGGTGCAGGTAAGGCCTGAGGACAAGCTCCACCCACTGCCAGGGCAGCAAGCAGGTGGGACCGGGTGTGGGGTGGGCTCAGCCTCAGGGACAGGCAGGGACTCTCACGGGACCCCTCCCCAGGTGAGAGCACAATGTTGTCAGGTGCATGTCCTTTATTGCATTCGGTTGGGGGCGCATGTGGGTATGAACAGCTGTGTAGAGGTGACAGCCTCAGGCTATGGGCAGCCACCAGAAGCCTCATAACTCCTCATGACATCAAAATTTCTTCCACATTATCAGTGAGCCAGTCAATGATGAAAATTACCATGACGGAGATGATAACTAATAGCCTTCTCCACCCTGCCTGCCTAGTGCTATTAAACGATAGACTGCCGGCATTAGAAACAACACAAGAACAATGGATCCTATGGTCCCGAGGAGGGCCAGGACCAGGGCCGCGATGTTCAGGGACTTGGCGGTGGACGCGTAGCTCTGGGCCCCAATCACGTCGCCCATCATCTTCCGGTCCCTGGACTGGGGGAGAAGAGACAGTCAGGGGGGCCTGGAGTGGAGCTGGGGAGAGCCAGCGGCTCTGACTCAGGTCCTGCCCTGCTGGTCCCCGCCCAGAGCCCTCCCCCTGCCCTTCAGGCAGATCAGGACCCCCCTCTGCCTGTTCCCTGGAGCCTGAGCAGGTCCGGGCCAGGGGGTCCCTCCCTCAGAGCCCCTCAGCCTCTCCTGGGGTCCCGGGGCACCTCTTCCCCTTGCCCTGGCCCCTCTGCTGGCCTCACCCCACAGGCGGTCAGGGTGTGGGAGTCCTTTGCTTTTTCCAAGAGAGCTAATTTCTGGCATGGTCAGTAGGGAATTGCTTGGAGTCCTGGAGACCAGGGCTGACCCTGCCACCCCCATGTCCCCGGCACAGACTCACTGTGACTTGTACACGCCCATGTGCACACACACGTGCAACGGCTCCCCAGTCCCCGGGGCCCTGTGGGCAGCAGGACCCCTGGGGGGGGCCCACACACGCACCCACCCACCTTCACGGAGTAGGCGAACGCCACGAAGCCCAGGCAGCAGACGTTGAAGAAGATCGTGTTGAACAGGGACCAGACGATGTGGTCGGGCACGGCGGTCTCAGGCTGGATGTTGACCACGGTGGACACCACGGGCGCTGAGATCTGGGGAGCCCCCAGCACGGCCACCTCGTGCTCCTCCTTGACCACATCAAAGGATGGGGGGACTCCGGCCTGGGGGCCAGCGAAGAACTGCTGCAAAGTGCGGTTCATGGTCCCTACACAGAGCGGATTCCTCCGGACCCGGGGGTGATGAGAGCTCAGTGGGTGCTTCCTCTCCTTGGTACTTTCGAAATCTCCAAAGTTTCCTCTTGTAGTTTCTTGGGAATTGATTGGCTGTGCCCGAGGAGGACCGCCACAGTACAGTATCAGGTTACACAGGTGGGGGGCGGGGGAGGCTGAGGGCCTGGGGGAGGGGGACTTTGTGTCTCTATCACTGCAGACAGGCCTTGCCCCAGGCACACTGGTTCCTCCTCTGCAGGGTGATGGGGATGACTGTGCAGAGTGGGAGTCACTCTCCTGAAGGGGAGCAGGGCTTTCACTAGCAAGTATGCTTCTTGTTTTAATTTTTAAAATATGTATTAATCCACTTAAAAACAACAATTGTATCCCTGGCTGGTGTGGCTCAGTGGATTGAGTGCCAAACCTGAGAACGGAAGGGTCACTTGTTCAGTTCCAGGTCAGGGCAAGTGCCTGGGCTGTGGCCGGGGCACTGGCTGGGAGTTTGGGAGACGCAGGCAGGCATGACACCCCCACCCCCGGCGGGCTCCCACTACTCGGTGCCTGGTGTTGCATTGAGCAAACTCGAGAACAAATGTTGGAGACTTTCAGGGTATCAAAGATGTTGCTTTATTGGCCAAGTTTAACCTGCGCAGGGGCGAACTCTCAAAGTGTCCGGAGACACGGTACCCACGGGGGCTGCAGTTGAGAGAGTCGCCTCGAGCCCTCACAGCTAGGTTCTTATATAGGGGTTGGCGCGGCCAAGCAAGCAAGCGTTTTACAGAAGCTGATGTGGCAGTTAGCTATTTGCTTACAGAGACCGTGCGCGGGAACAGGGTAAAATTCAAATTTTTAAAACTAAACAAAGCATTGCTTATCTAGCAGCCCCAGGGGAGAATATCTGCACGACACAGGACGTTTGCTCAACTACATCCTACACACTGTCTCCCTTGTTAGTTCCTTTTGGCTACGATGCCGTTTCTGTTTACTAAGGTCACATTTAGTTCTTAATTTTCTTGTTCCCAACACCTGGGATCCTGAGGACGCCAGCAGCACCTGCAGCCTCTCCCATGGAAGGGCCGGGCCTGCTGTGCACACCCAGGTGGGTGGCAGGGGGGGCCTGCCAGCACTCACTGGGCAAAGCTGGCCTTTCCGTGCCCTTGAACCCTGCGTGCACAGGACCCTGTCCCCAGCCCTGACCCCTCCCGCTCAGGCCACAGGCATGCAGACCACCTCCAGTGGGGCCACAGCAACCTGAATGCTTCAGGCAAGTGTCCCAGGAGGGGAGGTGCAGCTGCACCCCCCTCCTGCACCCCGGAGATGGTTGCAGGGCAACCCAGCTGGGATGTGCATCACGTGGCCGGCCACAGCGGTGACAGGGTGACAACAGGTGCCTCCCTCCTGCCCGTGGGGATTGGCTCCAGCGGCAGCAGGCGTCCCAGGGAGCCGAGACCGACGTCCCCGGGCTGTGCGCACGCCACCCGCCAGGGCCCCTGACTCTGTGCTGGGGCCACGGAGCGGGCCCTCGGTGTTCTCTGCGCCCAGCATGAGGAGGCCAGCACCCATGGTGCCTGGGGCTGTCCCGCCAATGCCACGGCCTCTCCCAGGCCTCCCCACCCCGCACTGCCAGCAGCAAATGAGCAGTGCCCCCCCCCCACCTTGTGCTGCAGAAGAAGCCCAGACAGGTCCCAGGTGGGGGTTTTTGAAGATTTCATTTATTTATTCTTAGAGAGGGGAGGGGAGAGCAAGAGAAACCCAGATCAGTTGCTTCTCATAGGCGTCCCGACCAGGCTTGACTCTGACTCACAGCCCAGGCTCCTGCCCTGAGCCGGGATTGAACCGGCTACCTTAGGTTTTACTAGTGACACACGACCTAGAGCCACTGGCTCCGGGCAGAACCGGGAGAGCTTTTCACAAGTGCCAGTACCCCCACCCGCACCCCCGTCCAGCCACACCATCGACCCCTCCCCCCGTCATGACCCTGAGGGAGCGTGTTGCTGCCCGGTTTACAGGCAATCACCTGGTGGGAGCCCTGCTCCCCCTCCTGCCCTCTGAAGCTGACCTGGTTTAACCTCTAAGGGAACTGGCCTACCTGGGCCCTCAGCTGCCAGTGCCCAGTGGCCTGGGTCTTCAGGACAGGGAGGGGCCCGGCCCCTGCATTCCCAAAGGCCCGCCCACAGAAGGCTTCAGCTCACAGCCACCCACCAGGGCTGCAGTGCTCACCTGTCTGCAAGTCCCTCTGGAGCCCCACCCACCACCCTGCCCAAGCCTGGGGGCCTGCAGGGGAGAAGGGCCAGTGTCAGCCCTGGTGGGGGACACTCCCAGGACCCCCAGTGGAAGGGGTCCTTTTCCTCCTGACTACCCTGAGGCCCGTGAACTCCCCTAAGCATTTGTGGATGCTCCAGTCCCTACCATAAGGCCGGCATTTTGGTCCTTTCTGCCCCTGGGAAGGGACCCTGCAGGCACCTTTCCTACAAAAGAGAAAGAACACAACAGACAAGGAAATGCCTGTCCCCTGTGGGAAAGAAGGCCAGTGGCAGGTCCCTGGGGGCCACCTGCATGGGAAGCCCTCTGCTCAGCCACCCCCTCCCACCTTTATCTAAGCTCTCTGCACGGCCTTTGCTTAGAAAACACAAGTGTTTGCTTTGCAAGATGAGTCTGGACAGAGGCAGAGTTGTGACAGACACTGCTGTCCAGGTGTCAGGGAGCCTGGGTCACCCTCTGGGTGGCAGGGTGGGCAGAGACGGCCCCTCACGTGGAACCTACAGGCTTGGCCTGGCCAGTTGGCCCTGGGCCTTGGCAGGGTGGGTGTCAGTGTCTGGGGGCCCTCAGGAGGTGTGGGTGAGGGTGGGGGGGCCCACAGCTGGGGGCCCAGGACACAGGAAGTAAGGGGGGAGGCTGGGCCGGCCAGGCTCCCAACCCTCCTGCCCCACTGCCTGTGGGCTGGGTCTGCCCTGGCCACCCCTTAGTGCCCGACATCTGGAAGCCTTGAGAGACCCAGGTTCAGAGCTGACTTCCAGCTCAGGGAGCTTATGTCCAGGTCGGGGCTGGATTTCTCTTCCACCTGAAGAGCAGGGAAATCCGGGGCTGTCTTGCCAGGAGACCTGTGGACTCCCAGAGTCATGCCCCCTGCAGCCTTCTGGGGCTGATGGGGGTGTTCAGGGCTGAGGGTGCTCTGGACCAGGGCCTCTGTGCCTCAGATGCTCCCATCCTGGGTCAGGGCTCAGACCTCTGGGAAGGAGGGACCCCACCCCTAAGTTTTCCCTTTGTTTCCCCAGCTGGGGCCCAGGTGCAGGTAAGGCCTGAGGACAAGCTCCACCCACTGCCAGGGCAGCAAGTAGGTGGGACCGGGTGTGGGGTGGGCTCAGCCTCAGGGGCAGGCTGGGGCTCTCACGGGACCCCTCCCCAGGTGAGAGCACAATGTTGTCAGGTGCATGTCCTTTATTGCATTCGGTCGGGGACGCACGTGGGTATGAACAGCTGTGAAGAGGTGACAGCCTCAGCCTATGGGCAGCCACCAGAAGCCTCCTCACTCTTGGTGACATCAAAGTTTCTTCCATATCATCAGCGAGCCAGTCAAATTAAAACCGGGAAAGACACCGACAGGCATTCGGGCTGCCTGTCGCTGCCAAACCAAATAAGCAATGACAGCGATTGAATTCTTTACAAGCACTTTATTCAGACAGCCGGCGGTCTGAGAAGATGGCGGGTTCACAGCCTAACAGACCGTCTTGTCTTTTCTTTCCAGGCCAAGGTTTTTATAGCAGGGAATACACAAGATGCGGTGAGGGGTTTGAAAGTCAAGGTGGATTGGGTAAAAGAAACTGCAACGTTCCTCTCCTGTGCAGTTAGCTGTTCTCAGTGGCGGGTGGTCGTCTGCCCCTCCCTGAAGGACAAAGGCCCGGATGCCCCCACTTGTCCCCAGGCGGTGCTCTTTAGCGGGGCCCCAGGAGGTCGGCTGCTTTCCCAGGAGCCAGGATGGGCCTTATTGATCTGTAGGCTCTGAAACAGAAGCTTTAACATATGCATGACTCACTAGGCCCATAACTTTTTACCTTAAACTAAAATTTTCCAACTCTTAAAGTCCCCTATCAAAATGGCGGAAATGGTGATGGCAGGGATGATTCCAGCATATTTAACAGGGAGGCCCAAGGCCAGTGGGTGGGGAGGAGGAGGGTCACCAGCCGTGGGCGGCCACTAGTAGCCTGTGTGGCCCACTGTGGCCTGCACTACTGCACGGTAGACTGCCGGCACCAGAAACACCAGAAGAACAATGCATCCTATGGTCCCGAGGAGGCCCAGGACCAGGGCACAGACGTTGAGGCACTTGGCGGTGGACGCGTAGCTCCGGGCCCCAATCACGTCGCCCACCATCTTCCGGTCCCTGGACTGGGGGAGAAGAGACAGTCAGGGGGGCCTGGAGCGGAGCTGGGGAGAGCCAGCGGCTCTGACTCAGGTCCTGCCCTGCTGGTCCCCACCCAGAGCCCTCCCCCTGCCCTTCAGGCAGATCAGGACCCCCCTCTGCCTGTTCCCTGGAGCCTGAGCAGGTCCGGGCCAGGGGGTCCCTCCCTCAGAGCCTCTCAGCCTCTCCAGGGGTCCCCGGGCACCTCTTCCCCTTGCCCTGGCCCCTCTGCTGGCCTCACCCCACAGGCGGTCAGGGTGTGGGAGTCCTTTGCTTTTTCCAAGAGAGCTAATTTCTGGCATGGTCAGTAGGGAATTGCTTGGAGTCCTGGAGACCAGGGCTGACCCTGCCACCCCCATGTCCCCGGCACAGACTCACTGTGACTTGTACACGCCCATGTGCACACACACGTGCAACAGCTCCCCAGTCCCCGGGGCCCTGTGGGCAGCAGGACCCCTGGGGGCCTACACACGCACCCACCCACCTTCACGGAGTAGGCGAACGCCACGAAGCCCAGGCAGCAGACGTTGAAGAAGAGCGTGTTGAACAGGGACCAGACGATGTGGTCGGGCACGGCCGTCTCAGGCTGGATGTTGACCACGGTGGACACCACGGGCGCTGAGATCTGGGGAGCCCCCAGCACGGCCACCTCGTGCTCCTCCTTGAGCATCTGGTAGGACGCGGGGACTCCGGCGTGGGGGCCAGCGAAGAAGCGCTGGGAAGTGCGGCTCATGGTCCCTACACAGAGCGGATTCCTCAGGCCCCGGGGACGCTGTGTGCTCCGTGGGTGCTTCCCGTCCTCGCTACTTTCGGTTTCCCCAAAGTTTCCTTTCCCTGGCGTTTGCGAAATTCAGGATTGGCTGTGCCTCATGAGGGCGGCCCGGGTTGAGTGTCGGGTTACACAAGCGGAGGGCGGGCGGGGACCGCCGGGGCCAGGGGGCTTCCTGTCCTCACCACTGGAGTCGGGCCTGGGCCCTGGTACACTGGTCCCTCGTGTGCAGTGCGATGGGCCCCGGAACGTGTCTGCAGTTCAGGGTCACCCTCCTGAAGGGGAGCAGTTTCACTAGGAAGTACGCTTCTTTAACAAAAGGATTATTTTAGGCTAATTGTTGTTAAAAAGCCAGGAGCTCTGAAAGGAAGTGGAAATGCCCCAAGTAGAAATCTTGACACTTTCAGGGAGTCTCCGCCCGGACCAGGGAGCGGCTGTCAGTGCAGAAGACGAGACAGTCGCTGGGGCTGACAGCCCTTGTTTCCTGCGCTTTCCGCGGCCACTTCCCACACCTGGCCTCCAGTGCCCGCCCCCGCGCCCGCCAGTCACGCCGTGGGTTTCCCTGGCGATGCCGTTCAGGGTGGCGGCTGCCACCTCCCTGGGACTGCCGGTTTTCTGGGCCTCTGGGGTGTGTGCAGGAGGCACCAAGTCATTACACTCGTGCCCCCTGCTGTTAATCTGCCTCCGACACAGGCCTGTCCCAGCCCAGAGCTTGCCAAGGCTGAAGGGATCCATGTTCGCGTGCCTGACGCTCTGAAAGGCCGAATCTCACACGAGCAGAGTCTGGCGCTGGGGAAGTCTCCCGGCCGGAGCGGGCGGCGCCGAGACGCTGGGAGGCCGAGAGTGTGCGGCGCTGCCCTGCTCACCGGAGGAGCTTCGGGGTGCTAAGCGGGTGGGAACGGGCGCGGGCGTGTCATCGCCGCAGGGCTTTGCGGCGTGGCCCTTCCGTGTCTGGGCGTCCGCCTGGGACCCGCCCGGACGGAAGACCCTCCGCTTCTCGGAGTGGCGCCGCCCGAGTCCAGCCCCGCCCCGGGTCCTGGCCCTGTGCGCGCGGGCGCACGGTGTGGCCGCAGGTCACGGCTGAGGTCACGGTCGGCTCCCTCGGAAATGCCCTCGGCGGCCCGTGAAATCGGACGGCCCGGCTCTGTGCGTGTCGCTGGCCCCACGCAGGGCCCTCCTGGTTGTCGCAGAGACCTCGCTGGCAGCCCCGGAGCGAGCCTGCCGCACAGCCCGCGCTCGGCTGCGCCCGCCCAAACGAGGGTCGGAGGTGTCCCGACACCACCCTGGGTCAGGGGTGAGAGCGCCTGCGGCCTGGCCTCGGGGCGTCCCCCGCGGGGCGAGGACCGGGAGCGGGGCCGGCCTCCCCCCCATCCTTCATGTGTGCTTCACTGAAATCTGTTTTCGGCATTTCGTTTTCTTTGTGCTCCCCCCTTACCATTCGCCACCCTCCCGCCCTCTTCCACCTCTGCCCACCCCGGACCGCCCCCCGGAGCCGGCAGCCTGCTCTCCGAGAGTCTGTCCTTATCTCCTGCTAGTTCGGCTAGTTCCCTAGATTCCGCGTGCGACAGAGGCGGCGGCATCGTCACATCCAAGGGCACTTTATTGGGTTCAGTGGGGACAGCCACGTCGGAGCACAGCGCTGTGTGGAGGGGTGGGCGGCGGGGGCAGGGCCGGGAGGGGGTGGTCCCTCTGCCAGGGGCAGAGACTAGTAGCCTCTGCGGCCCCACATGCTCTGCCCTACGGAATAATAGACTGCAGGGAGCAGAAACACCAGAAGAACAATGCATCCTATGGTCCCGAGGAGGCCCAGGACCAGGGCCGCGATGTTCAGGCACTTGGCGGTGGACGCGTAGCTCCGGGCCCCAATCACGTCCTTCACCAACTTCCGGTCCCTGGACTGGGGGGGGGAGAGACGGTCAGGGGGGCCTGGAGCGGAGCTGGGGAGAGCCAGCGGCTCTGACTCAGGTCCTGCCCTGCTGGTCCCCGCCCAGAGCCCTCCCCCTGCCCTTCAGGCAGATCAGGACCCTCCTCTGCCTGTTCCCTGGAGCCTGAGCAGGTCGGGGCCAGGGGGTCCCTCCCTCAGAGCCCCTCAGCCTCTCCTGGGGTCCTGGGGCTCCTCCTTCCCTTCCCCTCACCTCACCAGTGGTCAGGGTGTGGGAGCCCCTTTGTTCTTTCTGGGAGAGCTAATTTCTGAGATGATCAGGAAGAAATTGCTTGGAGACCTGGTGAAAAAGGCTGACCCTGCCACCCCCACGCGCCCGGTACAGACTCATCCTGACCTGAACACACACACCTACACACATGTATACACATGTGTGCACACACTCGAAACTGCTCGCCAGTCCCCGGGGCCCTGTGGGCAGGAGGACCCCTGGGGGGGGCCCACACACGCACCCACCCACCTTCACGGAGTAGGCGAACGCCATGAAGCCCAGGCAGCAGACGTTGAAGAAGAGCGTGTTGAACAGGGACCACACGATGTGGTCGGGCACGGCCGTCTCTGTCTGGATGTTGACCACGGTGGACACCACGGGTCCTGGGCCCTGGGGCGCTCCCAGCACGGCCACCTCGTGCTCCTCCTTGGTCATCTCTGGCTTTGGGGAGCAGGCGGGGTCTCAGGTGAAGAAGCTGGAAGCTTCCTGAAGCCGAGCCCTGAGCAGCGTGGTTTCAGGTGCTGGGTGAGCGCTGGGGCGGCGGGCTCCTTCTCCGGGGTAGTTCCGGTTTCTCAGGAGTGTCCGTTCCCGGGAGATTTCAAGACTGGCGATCTGGCTGTGCCTCAGGTGGGTGGGACACAGGACTGAGTGACCCGTCACCCTGGACGGGGGTGGGAGGAGGCACGTGGTCTCTGTTTCCTGTCCTTGCCTGAGGCGGGACTTGCCCCCTCCCCAGGCGCTTGGAGGGGCTGGTCACACAGTGAACCCTGCAGCTCCGGGGAGGCCGGCCTGGGGCCTTACTCAGAGACAGAAAGGAACCCCATAGAAGGGTCTGAACTGAAAACTTCGCCAGCAGGAGCTGTTCACACCAGGTCCTCCCGCCCCAGGCTGGTGTTTTTCCATGACAAGGGTCCATCTTTTTCTTACGGGGGCCTGTCTGTTGTTTTTGGCTTCCGTGCTGACACATCTCTGAATATCAGGTTTCCTTTTGCTGGGCCCAACCAAGCAGAGGCAGGGCACCGGCCCCTGAGACCCCCTCCGCATTGCTGTCGTCCTGTTAACCGTTAGCTGGTGGCTCCCCTGCCCCCACTCGCATGCAAGAAGTCACGTCCGTCACTGCACCTTTTACACCCAGACCCACAGGTTCCCCGCCTGAGTCGCCTTCTCCCGCTGATGCGTCACCGGCGGATTTCAGGTAACCAACCCCCTTACGCCTCCCCTTTTGGTTGTCGTGTATGAGGTCTGCCGCTTCCCTGAGCACTTCTCCCGTCATCTGAGATTTTGCCTCCAGGCAACTGCTGTTTGGCGCAAGTAAACTCACAAAAATTCCTGCAAGTTTGGACGTTTCTCAGCCGACAGAGCTCTGGTGGGCCCTGGGGACCTTTCCCAACTTGGACACACACACCGCCCCCTCCCCAGGCCCGGGGCTTTGCAGGCCTCACTGTCCCCAGGCAGGGCCCCTGCGAGCAGTCACATGGATCCCCTCCAGCCCGGGGGGAACCCCGCCCCCACAGCCCACCCCTCCGCTGTCACAGGCCTCCTGCGCGATGTCCAGGGTCCGGGTGCGGTTGGGTGCCTCCTGGGTGCAGCCTGCCAGGACCCTGCCCCCTGCCCTCCTCACCCCCTGAGAGATTGCCAGGCGAGGCAGAGCAGGGCCACCACCCCTCCCTCCTGCCTTCCCCTGCCTTGTTGGCGCTGCACTCGGTGGCCCTGCCGGGGTCCTCCCTGCCGCCTCCCATTCCTCTCACCGCCTCCAGGCCTGCGCTGCTCCACTGGGACACTGTGGCCCTCGAGCCCCCGGAAGGTGGCTCATCCCAGTGGAGAAGTGTCCTCAGACCTCGAAGGCTCGGTACCAAAAACAGGATCTTTCTGGTGGGATGAAAAACACTTCATCAACAGTATCATAAGACTATATGTGGAGATGCTGTTTTGGATACCTTGCTTCCGATCCAGGGGACCGTTGACACGACCCTCCCCCGGTTCCTTTGGCTTCTGTCCAGCGTGGCAGCTGGAGTAGCTCCAAGGGCGGGCCGCGCACGCCAGGCTACACGCACATCGAGGTGCTTGGTGGGACAGAGAAGGGGACCTGGCCCTTGCGGGGGTGACCTGACAAACCCGGGGAGGCGTCCAGGGCGAACCAGGAGGGTCCCCGAGCCGAGAGGTGGCCGGCCTGTGCCCCGGGGCTGCGAGGGGGCGGGCTCTCCCTCAGCCTGACTCCAGCCCCGGGTCCCTGCACAGCAGGTGGCGGGGGCCGCCCGACGCCCTGCCCCTCCCCTGCCCCCCACCTGGAGGGAACACCCTCGGGTCCCCTGGAGGGGTTCCTGGGTGACCCACAGCACCCGTGTGACGTGTCGGGGTGTCCAAGCCGTTCTGCCATGAATTCCCGAGGACCCGTGGCCAGAAAGGAGGGGTGAGCCTGGGGCGTTCTTGGAACTCAGAGCCTCCGGCGGGGCCGCGGGTCCAGGGCCAGCGTTCCTGTGAACGCCCTCAGAGGAACACCCTGTCCCAGCAGACTTGGGGCCGGTCAAGGAGCTGGAGGCCGGGTCTTCCTCCTGTGGAGTCCAGGCTCTGGGAGGTCACCAGCTGGCATCGAAAGGAAAAAGCAGGTCTGCACAGGGGCTAGATGGCAGGGTGGTGAGGGGCGACCAGGGAGCTGCCGAGGCCCACGGGGACCCGGTACCACTAGGAGCACACGCCAGGGGCGGGCCAGGCATGCACACCCTGGGGTCAGGGGTCAGGGGTGCTCAGGGTGGGGGTGGGGACACGCGGAGGGGCTTCAGAACTGTCAGCAGGACTTGGGGGCGGCCCTGTGCTCCTCAGGGGGTGCTGCTCGCTGCCCCTGCCCCAGGACTGGGTGCTAGGGGTGGGGCAGCTGAGAGATCTGCCCCAGAGGAGACACCACCAGGCGCCCTCTGCCCCTCGGGTCCCTTCTGAGCTCTGGTGGCCGCAGGAGACCTGGGGCAGGTCCGGGAGGGGCCGGGCAGGGTGGCTCCCACACTTTCAGGGCCAGGTGTCTGAGTGGCTGAGTCAGGCCTGCGCTCCCCACCTGTCCTTGCTCTGCCCAGCAGGGGGCCTGGGAGGGTGTCCCCTGCTGCCAGGACCCTGCCTGGCTGTGGGGAGCAGAGCCCCCCGGTGACCTTCCTGGACCTGCGTGTCCCGGCTGTGCTGGCAGCCTGGCCCACCTGCCCTGAAAGCCGCCCCCTCCCTGGGCGTCCTGGGGCCAGAGCCTCCAGCCCAGCTCCCCTCCTTCCTGGAAACTTTTCCTGGCAGGACCAGGCGATTTCAGAAACAAAGTCTGATGAGTCACGTCCCCAGCATTTCCGCTGGCTGTAGCCTGGGGCTCCCGAGTCTGTGTGGGACACCTGGAGCCCCTCCTCCTGGGAAATGGGACACCCTGACAGAGAGGCGCACAGGCCACAACAGTAGCACCTCGCCCACGGCTAACCTGTGACCCCCACCAGATGGGCTCCTGAGTCCCCTGAGAGCACGTGCCCCAGTCCCAGGGGCAGCTGCCACGCTCTGGGCACCGAGCTCCCCCCCCTCGGGGGTCAGCCCGGTCCTGACTTCCTGTGAGCACCAGGAGCTGAGTGCCCTGGCCCCACGGAGTGGCCGGCCCGAGGGCTGCGCTGTGAGCACCGCTCTGTGCCCACGCCGCACCCACCCTGCAGGGGCTGGTGGTCTCCAGGGGCGGGCGGCACTGCTGCTGGGGGCCAGCGCCGTGGAGCGAGGCTGTGCTGGGAGCCTCCTCAGAGTCTGGCTCTCCTGCGGGGACTGGGGGACCCACCTGGTCGGGGCGTGGGCTCTCCTCCGAGAGCTGGGCCCACTTCCAGGCCCTGCCCTGGGGACTGGGACTTGGGGCCACTTATGCATCAGCCCCTGAGGAAGGGCCCAGCTGGGCATGTTGGAGGGAACGAGCAGGCTGATCGGACTCTGTTGTGCGGGTTTTTGAAGGCTGGGCGTTTAGCCTTGGCTGCTGTGGCTCCGTGGGTTGAGCCCCGGCCTGCAAACCCGACAGCCGCCAGTTTGATTCCCAGTCAGGGCACAGGCCTGGGTTGCAGGCTGGGTCCCCAGCTGGCTGTGATGTTTCTCTCCCTCCCTTCCCCTCTCTGGTAAAGTAAGTGCATAGAATATCAACGGAGAAAATGAAGGCTGGGGGTTAGAGGAGGCTCAGGCAGGGTGGCAATAGCAGATTCACCACCTTTATGCAGATGTGCCAGCATGAGATCACTCCCTGCACTTCCTGTGTGCTGGGCGTGGTCAGCAAATGGCACTGATTGGATTTCTGCTCTCTGTCTCCCCGAGTGGGTGGTGTGAGCTGTTGGCCCTGTGGTTGGGGGGAAGGGCAAACCATTTACTCCTAAGTGTCCTTGCTGGAGGGGAGATGGCATTTCCTAGATAGCTGCAAAGTGCTCCTTGGACTGTCTGTCTCACTGTCCCTCTTCCACCTCCTGCCTTCCTGCGTGGGACCAGAGAGGGGGAGGGAGCGTCCCAGGGCCCGGGGCCGGGAGGGGCACTGCCCTGCAACGAAAAGTCTGCCAGGTCCAAGGACGGGCGCCTTCCCTTCCACTGCGAACATCTTACTCACCCAGAGACTCTGGGTCTTTTCAGAGTTTCATCTGCACCCGAGAAAGCTCGATCATTGCGTTTGCAGAGAGAGAGAGAGAGAGAACCACTGATTGCTGCCTTCCCACCCAAGCCCCGAGAGGACGTGGAACCCACAACCTACCCAGGCGCCCTGACCGGGAATTCCAACAACTGAGCCACACGGGCCAGGGCCACTCTGGGCCTTTTTCCAGGAGAGGCTCTGGGCCCAGCTGACTTCAGTCCGGGGCCTCACCACCCCCAGGCCACGAGGGGAAGGCCTGGCAGAGAGGGATAGGGGAACTGGGGGCCTCTCCTGGGTCCCTCCAGGAGCAGCCTCTGAAGACCTGGAGAAAGATTTGGAAGCAAACAACGTTGTTTGATCGTCAAAGCAAAGCTCCACTGCCAGGGACCAGCACATCTCCAAGGCCTGGTCCTTGTCAGCGCGGGTCCCCAGGGCAGGCACCCATTCCAGGCCCAGCCACCCTCAGCCTGCCAGCCCGCCCAGCACACAGCCAGGAGTCACGTGGGCCTCTGGTCAGAAACAGCTCCTTTGCTTTCCCGGACAAAGTTCTGTTTTCCCCTCGTTTGGGATTGTTTCCCTTCCCACTCCTGCAACTTCCTGGACTTGAACTCAAGAATTGGAGCCCAGGTTCTTTGACTCTCAGCTCGTTGAGGGAAAAGATCCTTTATTTTCTGCACTGGAGTTGCCAGACAACGTTGTATTAGTCTCGGGCGTGCACCCCAGTGTGATCGGCAGAACTGAGCGAGCACCCCCAGAGACTCAGTGCCCAGCGACACCATCCTTGGTGCCCATGGGACTGACTGTGTTCCCTGGGCCGCGCCTGACACGCCCGGGACTGTTTGTCATCCCGACCAGTGCTTCCGGTCCCCTCACCTTTCTCCGCGGCCCCCAACCCTGCCCCTCTCCCCGTATCTGCGGTCCTCTTCTCTTCTCCTTGTTAGACTCCCCCACAAGTGGGCTGTATTTGTCTCTCACTGTCACCGTGGCTGCCACAGGAAGGTCCACGCACAGGGGCGGGGCCACCATCCCAGGGGCAAGCGAGCTCTTTGCCCCAAAGCCACCAACCCTGGGACTCCGGGAAAGCAAAACAGCTCTCCGGCAAGCAGCAAGCATGTGGACCAAGACGGTCCCACCGCGCCCCAAACCCCACCCTCTCACCCACCCCGCCCCCCAGCCCGCTCAGTCACAGCGCCTGCGTCCTGTCCCCAAACCCCCTCCTGGGCCCGCCCCCTTCATCCTGATCCTCTGCACAGCACCCCGCCCCCCCCCCCCCCCCGCACATTTACTCCTGGGTTCCGCCCCCCACCAACCCAAATGCCCCTCCCCCACTCCACCCGGGAGCCCCTCCCCCGTGACCCGCAGGCCTACCCAGCTCCCGGGTTACAGCCACTTGCCAGGGCTCCTCCCTGTTGTGGCTGACCTTGGACTCTGGGCCACCGCCCAGCCCCATCGCCCAGGCAGGGAGGCAGGCCAGGGCAGGGACCAGCCTGTCCCAGTTGTCCCGGGGGGCCCGGGGGTGTGGGGGGGGCCAAGCTTACCTCGTCCTTCGCTCTGTGCAGAAGAGAGCACAAACTCACAGAAACCAAGTTGGTGTAAAAGGGAGTGTTTACTCAGAGTGAGGGAAAAGAGGACAAATTATAAGTTTAAAACTCGGAGAAATCCCATGAACACACAAAGTGTGGAGAACAACATGTTTTCATTCATCAGCTGCCCGAGCCATCCCATAATACGGGTTCCTGCCTTGTTTGGCCGCTTCCTCGGAGGTGACCTCCGTGTGCGACAATCGACACCGTGTCCCCCAGAAGGACTGGAGCAGGGGTCCCCACCCCCCGGGCCGAGGACCCAGGCCCAGTCTGTGGGCTGTTAGGGGCCGGCCGCACAGCAGGAGGGCAGCGGTTCACGCACAAGGTTCGTGTTTCAAAGTAACTTCGAATCGTGTGCCGTGTGCGGTCGGCAGCACTTTCTCGGGCTGGCGGGGGCCCAGCGAGGGCCCCGGCTCTGCCCCCGCCCGGCCCCTCCCTGCCGCAGGGCCGCACCCATCCCCCAGGGGGCCTGCACCTGCGCCGTCAGCTCTGCGCCAGAGGCACGCTTTGTGCCTGATCTTCACGCGTGAAGGTGACCGAGTGAGGACACGGAAGTCACTGCCACCGAGTGACAAGTTCAGTGCCACTCCCAGGGCCCTGGGAAGGAGCGCCCGGCGGGTCCCGCAGGGCCAGGGCCAGGGGAAGGTGGGGCCGGCTGGGTTGGGGGGCAGGAGGAGGGGAAGGACAGGCAGGTGGGAGAAATCGCTGGGGATGGGCTGGTTGGAGTAATCCCAGGAGGCTCGGGCACAGGGGCTGTGCTCCCATCTGGCACCGGGCCCTGGGGTGGCGGGGCCTGGGAAACATCGTGGAGCTGTGCTGCGTAAGGTGGTGGCGGGACTGTGGCCTGAGCATCACGGGGGTGCGAACCAGGTGGGCTGTGGTTTGGCCGTATGACGCGAGGAGGCCAAGTGGACGCGCAGAGGACCGGAGAGAGGGCGGGCCGAGGGGGAGCCCGCTGGGGGCGGGGGGGGGGTGTGGGGAGGGTGAGCTGGGGGCCTCATTCCTCTGGCCCCTCCGTTCCCGGCAGTAAATTGTGTTCCTCCTCCCAGAACCACAAGTTCCTTTCCCAAGGAACGTTCACGCGTTACCCCGTTAACAAATGCAGATGCGCGCGATCATGCCAACAGACGCGGGAGAAGCGTCCCCGAAAACGCATGGTCTGTCCTCAGGAACCTGGCTCAGCTGCTCCGAAAGAGGAGGGAGCAGGGTTCCTCTGCGGGGAGCCCCTGCCAGGCCCAGGGCAGTCGTGTGTTCTCGGGAGAGGCTGGGAGGGCGAGGACCCGGGGCGCCCCAGGACCGCCCCGGGAAGGCGGCCCGAGTGTGGCCGGTGAGCCGGTCAGGTTTGCAACGAGGAAGCCAAACGGTCCCCCTCACAGGCGACAGCGCCGGGGGGACGGCCCGGCGGCGCTGCAGACCCCTTGCGGGAACAGGCAGGCAGTTTGGCAGAGCTGTGGACGCGCGCTCCGTGGGCCGCCCGGCTGTCGCTGCACACGTCAGCACCTGTGTGGGGGAGTGGAGTGTCACTCACGCTGCAGGAGCGAGGCCCGGCCTCACCCTGAGGGGCCGGGAAGCACTGCCAGCAGGCCAGGAGACGCCACCGAAGGCTGGGCCCCTGCTCTGGACCGGGGAAACACTTCTCCAGCAAGACGCAAAAAGCACCACCCCCTCACGGGAGAGCCTGACCATGCCGTGCACACTAAGCGGTCTCTGAACCAGCGACACTGGTCAGAGTGAACCCAGCCGCGGGACAGTGACGGGGGCAGCCCAGGGAGCTGGCAGAGCCGCGGTGTCTGGAGCGGTGAGGACAGGACGATGGGCCACAGCCTGGTCAGAACAGTGGGTCAGAGAGCTTGACCGGGAACCTCATGGAGGAGGAACCAACCCCGAGTGGCTGACGGGACAGGCTGGGCTCAGCGTGCGGCAGTCAGGGGCCCACAGTCGGCCCACGGGAGGTGCCGCCCCAGGATCTGGGCAGCCGCCTCGCCCTGGCCCACGGCACAGCGTGGCCATGAGCCCTGCGGGAGGACAGCACGGACATCCATGCCAGGGGGAGAAATGTGGACTGTGGGGCCGGCGGGTCTGCTCCCAGGTCAACACCCCAAAGAGACGGGGCCTGGGCTGCTGACCACGGCCACCGTCCTCGGCCCACAGCAGTGTGACCCTGCGGGCGCTGAAGCTGCGAAGGACCCCACCCCCACCCCGGACCTGGCCCCACAAGGTCTGTGTGAGCCGGTCCTCCGCAGCGACTCCCGGAGCCGGCTGGCGGCATCTCACGTGGGGCGGGAAGGCCCCGCCTGAGTCCACACAGAGGCTGTCACGGTCTGGGTGTGGGGACCCTTGGCAGCGGTGGCCCCACACGGGCCTGGCGGCGGGAGTGGGGGCGCTTGGATGACACAGCGCAGCACCCCCATCCCCACAGCCTGCTCCTGACATCCTCACTAAACCATCTGTTTCCCTTTTTTTGAAGATAATCTTCTGAGGTCTCAGAAGAACTTGAAAATGGCCATAACGAGACCCCCACAGTGAGGCTCTCCCCGCGCTCTGGGGACCACGTGCCCGAGCGGGGACGACACCCCAGGTCAGAGCACAGTGCCCCGGGGCAGCGCCGCCAGCCCCGCAGCCCTCCGGGGCCCGGCTCCTCAGACACAGGGCCCCTGCCCTGCGCCCCTCGCCCGTGGCTCCGAGCCCACGGGGACGCAGCCACGCACGCCGACCGTGGTCGGAGGTTCCAGACCGGAGCGTCCCAGCCGCCTGCAGGCTGTCCCCAGGGCAGACGCCGGGCTGCAGGCCCGCGCCCCGACCCAGGTCTGCGGTAGGGACCCAGCAGCGGTGATGAGGCCCCACCTGGTGCTGGCGACAGTGCCCGTCACGGACCTGCTGTGACGACCTCCGCCAAGGAAAAAAGTAACATTTAAAGTTAAAATTAAAAATAAGACAAAGGCAGTCTACCTATCCAATCTGATTAAGTACAAGCTCACCAGATCTCCCTGCGAAGATGGAACCCAGGGCACCTGTTTGCTCACCTGGGAGGGGCCCCTTGCAGGACCTGGAGCAGAGCAACGCTCAGGCTGGGTCCACCCTGGAGAATTGGGCCCATAAACGTCTACCAGACACTCCTTTCCTCCACACTCCCGGGTACCACCCCCTTTACCAAAGCACAAACTGCAGGAAATAGACACTTCCAAGAAATCAGAACTACCCCGGAGAGGGAGGGGCCCGGAGCTCTGTCCCTGCACATAAAACCACCCTGCTCTGGGCTCTGCTTCAGGAAGCTTCTACCTATTTCACTTGAGACCTCACCGGCTCCCCAGTTCCAGAGATGATCAAGGGGGAACAGGAGATGGCGAACTGGGGGACTCCCCAGAGCCCAGGACCCGTGGTGTCCACCGTGGTCAACATCCAGCCTGAGACCGCCGTGCCCGACCACATCGTCTGGTCCCTGTTCAACACGCTCTTCTTCAACTACTGCTGCCTGGGCTTCGTGGCGTTCGCCTACTCTGTGAAGGTGGGTGGGTGCGTGTGTGGGCCCCCAGGGGTCCTGCTGCCCACAGGAGGGTGGACCCGTAGCAGGAGCAGTTTTCTGAGTGTGAGTCACGTGGGGGCTCCTTCTCCGTGATAGTGTGAGGGGGCTACACGCACACGCCTGCCTTTGGGAGGGTCTGCACCGTGCCCAGGGCCTCTCCTTTCCATCCCAGTTGGAGAAATCAGGTCCTTCACACAGCAGACCCAGACCTCATGTCCGGTCCAGAAAGAGGAAAAGATCCTCAGAGACGCTGACCCCTGGTGGGATGTGGCCAGCAGAGGGGCCAGGGCAGGGGGAGGAGGTGCCCCAGGACCCCAGGAGAGGTTGAGGGGCTCTGACAGAGGGACCCCCTGGCCCCGACTTGCTCAGGCTCCAGGGAACAGGCAGAGGGGGGTCCTGATCTGCCTGAAGGGCAGGGGGGGGGCTCTGGGCGGGGACCAGCAGGGCAGGACCTGAGTCAGAGCCGCTGGCTCTCCCCAGCTCCGCTCCAGGCCCCCCTGACCGTCTCCCCCCCCCCAGTCCAGGGACCGGAAGATGGTGGGCGACGTGATTGGGGCCCAGAGCTACGCGTCCACCGCCAAGTCCCTGAACATCGCGGCCCTGGTCCTGGGCCTCCTCGGGACCATAGGATGCATTGTTCTTCTGGTGGTGGTGGTGTTGCCGATATTCAGATATTCAACTATGCAGGCCCAGCAAAACCGCGGAGGCTCCTAGGTGCTGCCCTTGGCCGGGGGACCACGTCCTCCCCACCCCTCCCGGCCCTGCCCCCGCCGCCCACCCCTCCACACAGCGCTGTGCACGGACATAGCTGTCCCCACTGAACCCAATAAAGTGCCCTTGGATGTGATGATGCCGACGTTTCCTGGGCCGCTGCCCCTGCTGAGTGCCCAGCCTGCCCCTGACTGAGCCCACCACCCACACCCTGGCCCACCTGCTTGCTGCTCTGAGGGGGGCCCAGCTCTTTCTCAGATGTTCCTGGTTTCTGGTCTCCCGCTGCGGGGAGCAGCAGCTGGGACAGGGCCCTAGGGAGGGGCTTGGTCCTTCCCAGTATCTGAGCCCTGATCTGAGGGGGGCTGGGTCCAGTTCATCCTGGGCCCTGAGGACAAGCCTCCCTGACCCCGGGCTGGCCGGGAGCAGGGGTGAGTGCTGCAGACTGGTGCCCTGGGAGGCCATGGTGTTTGCAGGTCCGGTGCAGGGTGGAGCCCGGCCCCATAGCCCCTCCTGGGTGGTCCCGCCATGGCTGTGCTTCCCCCCAGCCCACCAGCTCTGTCCTTGCTCCCCCCCTCAGGGGGACAGCAGCAGAGGTGTGCTGGCACCAGGGAGGGACGGAGCAGGCAGCCCTGAGGGACAGAAACCCTGAGAGGAAGGACCAAATCCTCCCACCAAACAGGCTGGGCCTGCTGGCTGGAGCCTCTGCCAGTGTCCCGGAAGGGTACCCCAGCCTTTGGGGACCCCCAGGCGTGGGCTGGGAGCTTTTTCCAGGGCCACTGATGCACATGGGGCCTGGGGCTGTCCTCAGCTTGACCCATTCCCTGCCGGCAGACCCTGCAGCCACCACGGAGAGGCTGGGGAAGTCGGGGGCCACAGGCTGGTGTTGGGGGATGAACCCGTCTCCCCGTGAGCCTTGCCCTTTGGGGACCTGGGTTCACTGGGGCTCCAGCTGTGGGGTGAGGTCAGTCCTGCTAGCTGTGGTCTGGGGGCAGCATCTCTTCCCCCTGTGGTCTTGTTGGGTCCTGGCGCACGCACACTAGGAAGATCCTGACCCTGGTCCCCTTCCCCACACCCTGTTCCAGCCCGTGTGGAGCCCTGAGTCTGGGGCCTAAAGAGGGCTGTGCGTGTCTGCAATAGGCCTTGCCTATCAGGAGGGCGCCCCTGTCCCCAGGGGTCCCACGAATGAGCAGGAGGGGGGTCAGGCCCAGGGAAGGACAAGGGAGGGGCGCCCTCACGTGGCTGCGACCCCGCTCCCCACCCCCCCCCCGACCCCCGGGTTGGTAGTACGTCTTCTGCGGGGCACCGGTCGGGACGTGCACTCAGCACTGCAGCAGCCCGCATCTGAGCGGCTGCGACTTGGGACAAAGACGCCGCTAGGCCGGAGACCTTCTGCGGCGGCCCGCAGACCAGCCCGCGCTCTGGAGCTTTGGGGAAAATTGCGCGGGCGCCTGAGGCTTCACGCAGGCGCAGTGCAGGCCCGTCCGAAGGGGCTGAGTGCGGTCCGTTGGGCTCCCCACGGCTCAGCCCACAGCCCCGAGTCCTGGGAGCCGCCCCAGCATCTCCGCCTGGAATGTGGGTGGACGAGGGTCACCTTCACCCAGGTGGGCGTTTTCCAGGATGGTAGGCGGGGTGGTCTCCAGCCTGGGTTCAGAGGGCTGTGGGACCCGACGGTGGGCCAGAAGGGGCGGGGCCTAGCCTGCGGGCGAACAGAAAGGGGCGGTGCACGCGTGTGGGCGGGGCCAGACCTAGGCGGAGGGATTCACAAGTGTCGCTGCGGCGCTCTCCTCTCCTCCCCTCTCCTCTCCTGTCGGGCGAGCCCCTCCCACGTCTATGCCAGTGTTTTCGGGACACAGAGAGGCTGGTCTGCCAGCGTCCCCTGTGCAGGACCATCTTCCCTGACCTGACCCCTGTCCTGCTCAGACGTGGGGCCGCGGGGGACAGCCTGAGATCCTATGGCTTATCCTCAGGTCCCCAGCCGGCCCGGCCCCCGGAGCGTTAGTGCGCTGCTGTTGCGGGCAGAAAGGAGGTGGGGGTGAGGGTGTGCAGCGTCCACAGCTGGGGCCCTGGGCACAGGGAGGAAGTGGCAGTCCGGGCGGGCCCAGCTCCCAACCCTGCTGTCCCGCTGGTATCCGCTGGGTCTGCCCTGGCCATCCCTTAGTGCCCGACATCTGGAAGCCTTGAGAGACCCAGGTTCGGAGCTGACTTCCAGCTCAGGGAGCTTACGTCCAGGTTGGGGCTGGGTTTCTCTTCCACCTGAAGAGCAGGGAAATGCAGGGCTGTCTTGCCAGGTGACCTGTGGACTCCCGGAGTCACGCCCCCTGCTGCCTTCTGGGGCTGATGGGGGTGTTCAGGGCTGAGGGTGCTCTGAAGCAGGGCCTCTGTGCCTCAGATGCTCCCACTGGGTCAGGGCTCAGACCTCTGGGAAGGAGGGACCCCACCCCTAAGTTTTCCCTTTGTTGCCCCAGCTGGAGCCCAGGTGCAGGTAAGGCCTGAGGACAAGCGCCACCCCACTGCCAGGGCAGCAAGCAGGTGGGACCGGGTGTGGGGTGGGCTCAGGCTTAGGACAGGCTGGGGCTCTCACGGGACCCCTCCCCAGGTGAGAGCACAGGGTTGTCAGGTGCATGTCCTTTATTGCATTCGGTCGGGGACGCACGTGGGTATGAACAGCTGTGAAGAGGTGACAGCCTCAGGCTATGGGCAGCCACCAGAAGCCTCCTCACTCTTCAGTGACATCTGGTAACAGCTGTGCTGAAGTTACACCAAGATCCTCGTGGGAATTACAATGACAATGAACAGAATGACGCTCAATACCAGGGCACAGACGTTGAGGCACTTGGCGGTGGACGCGTAGCTCCGGGCCCCCGTCACGTCGCCCACCATCTTCCGGTCCCTGGACTGGGGGGGGAGAGACGGTCAGGGGGGCCTGGAGCGGAGCTGGGGAGAGCCAGCGGCTCTGACTCAGGTCCTGCCCTGCTGGTCCCCGCCCAGAGCCCTCCCTCTGCCCTTCAGGCAGATCAGGAACCCCCTCTGCCTGTTCCCTGGAGCCTGAGCAGGTCCGGGCCAGGGGGTCCCTCCCTTAGAGCCTCTCAGCCTCTCTGGGGTCCCGGGGCACCTCTTCCCCCTGCCCTGGCCCCTCTGCTGGCCTCACCCCACAGGCGGTCAGGGCGTCGGAGCCCCTTTATTCTTACTGAGAGAGCTAATTTCTGACATGGTCAGTAGGGAATTACTTGGAGTCCTGGGGACCAGGGCTGACCCTGCCACCCCCATGTCCCCGGCACAGACTCACTGTGACTTGTACACGCCCATGTGCACACACCCAAGGGCTCCCCATCCCAGAGCCCTGTGGGCAGGAGGACCCCTGGGGGCCCACACACACCCACCCACCTTTATGGACTGGTAGAACGCCGCCAAGCCCAGGCAGCAGACGTTGAAGTAGATGGAGCTGAGCAGGGACCACGTGATGTGGTCATGCACGGGGGGCTCTGTCTGGATGTTGACCACGGTGGACACCACGGGTCCTGGGCCCTGGGGTGCTCCCATGATGGCCACCTCGTGTTCCTCCTTGATCATCTCTGGCTTTGGGGAGCAGCTGTGGTCTCAAGGGAAGAAGCTGGAAGCTTCCTGAAGCGGAGCCCTGAGCAGCGTGGTTTTAGGTGCTGGGGCAGTGCTCGGGGCCCCTCCCTCTTTGGGGTAGTTCTGATTTCTCAGGAGTGTCTATTTCCTAGGGTTTTCAAAATTGTTGATTTCACTGGGTACCAGAAGGCGGAAAAACCCACGAGTGTCAGCTGACAGGAGAACAGAGTGCAGGGCAGCCTGCAGGGTAACGGCTGCTTCCTGCCCCTTCACTCAGGACGGCTCTTGTGGCTCATTCGGGGCTGCGGTGGGTCCTGGGGCTTTCTCCTGCCTGGGGGCCCCCCTCCCGGCCCCCTCCCGAGCCCTTGTGCAGGCCTCACTGTCCCCATGCAGGGCCCCTGCACGTGGTCACACAGACCCCCTCCAGCCCAGGGGCAGCCCGGCCCCCACAGCCCACCCCTCCTCCACTGTCACATGCCCCTCTCTGACGTCCAGGCTCCAGGTGGAGTTGGGTGCCTCGTGGGTGCAGCCCGGGAACCAGCCCCTGTGGCCTGTCCGCCCAGGGGGTCAGCAGGGTCCCCGTGACCGAGGACACGTGGGGACACGAGGAGGCAGCTGGGGTGGGACGGGGCATTTGGCGGTGGCCTGGAAGCGCAGGGCGTCAGGCTGTGCAAGCCCCTGTCTGCTGCGCCCTGCTGCCCCTCAGTGGAGCCCAGGTGCGGGGGGTGGTCACAGGACCAGCTGGAGGGGGCCAGATGAGTACCAACTCCAGGAGCATAGCTTGTGCTCAGGCCTGATTTTCACCTGCCTCCCAGCTGGGAGCAATGAAAGCAGTAAGTTTAGGGGTGGGGTCCCTCCTTCCCAGAGGTCTGAGCCCTGACCCAGTGGGAGCATCTGAGGCACAGAGGCCCTGCTCCAGAGCACCCTCAGCCCTGAACACCCCCATCAGCCCCAGAAGGCTGCAGGGGGCGTGACTCCCGGAGTCCACAGGCCACCTGGCAAGACAGCCCCGGGTTTCCCTGCTCTTCAGGTGGAAGAGAAATCCAGCCCCGACCTGGACGTAAGCTCCCTGAGCTGGAAGTCAGCTCCGAACCTGGGTCTCTCAAGGCTTCCAGATGTCGGGCACTAAGGGGTGGCCAGGGCAGACCCAGCCCACAAGCAGTGGGGCAGGAGGGTTGGGAGCCTGGCCGGCCCAGCCTCCCCCTTACTTCCTGTGTCCTGGGCCCCAGCTGTGGGCCCCCCACCCTCACCCACACCTCCTAAGGGCCCCAGACACTGACACCCACCCTGCCAAGGCCCAGGGCCAAGTGGCCAGGCCAAGCCTGTAGGTTCCACGTGAGGGGCCGTCTCTGCCCACCCTGCCACCCAGAGGATGACCCAGGCTCCCTGACACCTGGACAGCAGTGTCTGTCACAACTCTGCCTCTGTCCAGACTCTTCTTGCAAAGCAAACACTTGTGTTTTCTAAGCAAAGGCCGTGCAGAGGGCTTAGATAAAGGTGGGAGGGGGTGGCTGAGCAGAGGGCTTCCCATGCAGGTGGCCCCCAGGCACCTGCCACTGGCCTTCTTTCCCACAGGGGACAGGCATTTCCTTGTCTGTTGTGTTCTTTCTCTTTTTGTAGGAAAGGTGCCTGCAGCGTCCCTTCCCAGGGGCAGAAAGGACCAAAATGCCGGCCTTATGGTAGGGACTGGAGCATCCACAAATGCTTAGGGGAGTTCACGGGCCTCAGGGTAGTCAGGAGGAAAAGGACCCCTTCCACTGGGGGGGTCCTGGGGTGTCCCCACCAGGGCTGACACTGGCCCTTCTCCCCTCCAGGCCCCCAGGCTTGGGCAGGGTGGTGGGTGGGGCTCCAGAGGGACTTGCAGACAGGTGAGCACTGCAGCCTGGGGTGGGTGGCTGTGAGCTGAAGCCTTCTGTGGGCGGGCCTTTGGGAATGCAGGGGCCGGGCCCCTCCCTGTCCTGAAGACCCAGGGCACTGGGCACTGGCAGCTGAGGGCCCAGGTAGGCCAGTTCCCTTCTCTAAGGGAACCAGGCCAGCTTCAGAGGGCAGGAGGGGGAGCAGGGCTCCCACCAGGTGATTGCCTGTAAACCGGGCAGCAACACGCTCCCTCAGGGTCATGACGGGGGGAGGGGTCGATGGTGTGGCTGGACGGGGTGCGGGTGGGGGTACTGGCACTTGTGAAAAGCTCTCCCGGTTCTGTCCGGGGCCAGTGGCTCTAGGTCGTGTGTCACTAGTAAAACCTAAGGTAGCCGGTTCAATCCCCGCTCAGGGCAGGAGCCTGGGCTGTGAGTCAGAGTCAAGCCTGGTCGGGACGCCTATGAGAAGCAACTGATCCGGGTTTCTCTTGCTCTCCCCTCCTCTCTCTAAGAATAAATAAATGAAATCTTCAAAAACCCCACCTGGGACCTGTCTGGGCTTCTTCTGCAGCACAAGGTGGGGGGCACTGCTCATTTGCTGCTGGCAGTGCGGGGTGGGGAGGCCTGGGAGAGGCCGTGGCATTGGCGGGACAGCCCCAGGCACCATGGGTGCTGGCCTCCTCATGCTGGGCGCAGAGAACATCGAGGGCCCGCTCCGTGGCCCCAGCACAGAGTCAGAGGGCCCTGGCGGGTGGCGTGCGCACAGCCCGGGGACGTCGGTCTCGGCTCCCTGGGACGCCTGCTGCCGCTGGAGCCAGTCCCCACGGGCAGGAGGGAGGCACCTGTTGTCACCCTGTCACCGCTGTGGCCGGCCACGTGGTGCACATCCCAGCTGGGCTGCCCTGCAACCATCACCGGGGTGCAGCTGCACCTACCCTCCTGGGACACTTGCCTGAAGCATTCAGGTTGCTGTGGCCCCACTGGAGGTGGTCTGCATGCCTGTGGCCTGAGCGGGAGGGGTCAGGGCTGGGGACAGGGTCCTGTGCACGCAGGGTTCAAGGGCACGGAAAGGCCAGCTTTGCCCAGTGAGTGCTGGCAGGCCCCCCCTGCGACCCCCCCGGTGTGCACAGCAGGCCCGGCCCTTCCATGGGAGAGGCTGCAGGTGCTGCTGGCGTCCTCAGGATCCCAGGCGCGGAGTAGTGGGAGCCCGCCGGCGGGGGAAGGTGTCATGCCTGCCTGTGTCTCCCAAACCCCCATCCAGGGTACCTGGCCAGCACCCCAGGCACTTGCCCTGACCTGGAACTGAACCAGCGACCCTTCAGTTCTCAGGTTGGCGCTCAATCCACTAAGCCACACCAGCCAGGGCTACAATTGTTGTTTTTAAATGAATTAATATATTTTTTAAAGATTTTATTTATTTATTTTTAGGGAGGGAGAGAGAGAGAGAGAGAGAGAGAGAGAGAGAGAGAAACATCAATGTGCGGTTGCTGGGGGTTATGACCTGCAACCCAGGTATGTACCCTGGCTGGGAATCGAACCTGGGATACTTTGGTTCCCAGCCCGCGCTCAATCCACTGAGCTATGCCAGCCAGGGCGAATTAATATTTTTAAATCAAAGAAAACAAGCCTACTTCCTAGTGAAACTGCTCCCCTTCCGGTGGGTGACCCTGAACTGCAGACACGGCCCCGGGGCCCATCACACTCCAGAGGAGGAACCAGTGTTCCAGGGCCCAGGCCTGACTCCACCATCAGGGACTGGAAGCCTCCAGGCCCGGCGTGCCCCCCGCCCTTCCGCCTGTGTAACCCGACACTCCACAATGGCTGCCCTCCAGAGGCACAGCCAATCCTGAATTTCGCAAACGCCAGGGAAAGGAAACTTTGGGGAAACTGAAAGTAGCGAGGACGGGAAGCACCCACGGAGCACACAGCGTCCCCGGGGCCTGAGGAATCCGCTCTGTGTAGGGACCATGAGCCGCACTTCCCAGCGCTTGTTCGCCGGCCCCCACGCCGGAGTCCCCGCGTCCTACGAGATGCTCAAGGAGGAGCACGAGGTGGCCGTGCTGGGGGCTCCCCAGATCTCAGCGCCCGTGGTGTCCACCGTGGTCAACATCCAGCCTGAGACGGCCGTGCCCGACCACATCGTCTGGTCCCTGTTCAACACGCTCTTCTTCAACGTCTGCTGCCTGGGCTTCGTGGCGTTCGCCTACTCCGTGAAGGTGGGTGGGTGCGTGTGTGGGCCCCCAGGGCTCCTGCTGCCCACAGGGCCCCGGGGACTGGGGAGCCGTTGCACGTGTGTGTGCACATGGGCGTGTACAAGTCACAGTGAGTCTGTGCCGGGGACATGGGGGTGGCAGGGTCAGCCCTGGTCTCCAGGACTCCAAGCAATTCCCTACTGACCATGCCAGAAATTAGCTCTCTTGGAAAAAGCAAAGGACTCCCACACCCTGACTTCCTGTGGGGTGAGGCCAGCAGAGGGACCAGGGCAGGGGGAGTAGGTGCCCGGGGACCCCTGGAGAGGCTGAGAGGCTCTGAGGGAGGGACCCCCTGGCCCGGACCTGCTCGGGCTCCAGGGAACAGGCAGAGGAGGGTCCTGATCTGCCTGAAGGGCAGGGGGAGGGCTCTGGGCGGGGACCATCAGGGCAGGACCTGGGTCAGAGCCGCTGGCTCTCCCCAGCTCTGCTCCAGGCCCCCCTGACCGTCTCTTCTCCCCCAGTCCAGGGACCGGAAGATGGTGGGCGACATGACGGGGGCCCGGAGCTACGCGTCCACCGCCAAGTCCCTGAACATCGCGGCCCTGGTCCTGGGCCTCCTCATCATATTTGGTGTCATCACTGCTGCCATCACCCGTGCTATCATTTCTGTTACTTGACTGGCTCACTGATAATGTGGAAGAAACTTTGATGTCACCAAGAGTGAGGAGGCTTCTGGTGGCTGCCCATAGACTGAGGCTGTCACCTCTTCACAGCTGTTCATGCACACGTGTCCACAACCGAGTGCAATAAAGGACATGCACCTGACAACCCTGTGCTCTCACCTGGTGGGGGGGGGGTCCTGTGAGAGTCCCAGTCTGTCCAGATGCAGAGCCCAGCCTGCACTCTGTGGCACCTGCTTGCTGCCCTGGGGCTGGGGAGGAGCTTGTCCTCAGCCCTTACCTGCACCTGGCCTCCAGCTGGGGGCACAAAATGGAAAATGTTTTAGGGACGAGGACTTGGGGTACTTCTCCAATCAGCCCCTGAGGAAGGGCCCCTTCCTTGTCAGCAATGGCCACCTGCTGGCTACAGGAACCACCACTGTGTGGACATGAGCTTTGCACCCGGAGACCTCCCCCAGCCCTCTTACCAAGTCTAGCAACACCTCTGCTGTGTCTCTGTGCCACCATCTCCTCTGAATGGGCGGCTCCTCCTGGCTCCGTGCCTGCCCCACAGCGGTCCCCTTTGCAGCTGTGACGCAACCCCGAGGTCCCTGTTCATCGAGACCACCCGGCACCCGTCCTGCCCAACGGTGACCTGGGACCTCGGGGTCCCGGGTCTGCCGACCACCTCCCGACCCACCCTGGTGGCAGAGCCTGTGGGTGTCTGTCGTCTCCCACGGGAGCTGCCATGGTCACAGCCGGGGCCGCTGACTGTCGTGTCCCTGGGCACATGCACGCAGCTCCTGGCTCCACAGGGTGTCCCCACAGAGCCCCTCCGTGTGAGGGGTCCCCTTCAGGGCTTGCTGTGACCCGAGCCCTGTGCGTTGTCTCCCTGAAAACAGCCCCTGTCTGCTCTGTGCCCAGACAGCCTGTCCACTGGGAGCGGGATTTTCAGGCGGCTGCGGTGGCCCGTCTCAGGGTCCCCTGAGTCCACAGTTGCTGTGACGCCAGCTGCCAGCCGAGTGTCACCCCGTCAGGCTCTTTGTCACTTGGATCTTGTGTTTGCTTTGCTGGGGTTCCACCGGGATGTGCTGAGCGTGGGTTCGCCCCTCTTTATTCTGGTGGAGAATGCTGGGTTCCTCGGGTCTGTGCGTTCCTGTCTCCCTGGGTCTTGGGAGATTCTCATCCAGTGCATTTTCACATCTGAGCCTCCCTCACTGCCCACGCCCTGCCCTTCCGGACCCCAGGGTGCGGGAGTGGAGCCCTCCCTCCATCGCGTCCTCACACTCGCCCGCCCGTGTCTGCCCCTCGGCCTGGGCGCTGCTGGCAGGAGGGTTGTTCCTCGTGCGCGTCCTCGGAGTGGGGCTGGGGGGCGGCTGCACAGGGACCAGACCCTGGGTGTCGGCGGGACCCCGCGTCCGCCCCCGCCCCCGAGTGTGCCCCTGAGTGTGCCCCTTGCTCAGGGCTCGGGCACTTCCAGGGTGGCTGGCCGGTTCCTGGGCAGATCCCCAACGGCACGTGTCACCGTGTCCCCTTCTGTACTGGACCGTGCACACTTACCATTGACCTCCAGGAGGTCACCGCTCGGCAGCGTCTCACCGGGAAATGCCAGGGTCCAGCGCATCTGTCGCCCGAGGTTCCGCAGATCCTCAGCCACCTGTTCCTGTGCCCCGGGTGCCGGGCGGGCAGGTGGGTGCAGGCCTGGGCCACACCCCCCGAAAGGCTCCTCCGGGGTCCGAGGGCGCAGGACTCACCCACGGGCGATCCGAGGCTGAGATGGCCCTGTGTCTCTGGACGATTTCTTACGTTGTATCTCCTGCTGCACCTCCTCCTGTAAGTTCATACTCATTCCATGAATTTCTTTGTTCAGACTTAATTCTTTCATGCTTTTCATATTTAGTATTTGCACAAGTGTTTTTTCTGATCTTCGTTGATGTTCACGGGTGGACCTTTTTCATCTTACAGCTTTTAGGAAAAGTTCCATTCATTCGTGCATCCAGCAGGGACTTGCTGAGTGAGCCCGGACTCGGGAAGGAGCGGCTGCAGGGGGAGGACGCGTGGCCGGCCTGAGGGGCGTGGTGGCCCCAGGCTCACCTGTCCACCTGTCCCGTCCCCCCCCGCCGCCCCGTCTGAGGGCTGGGGCCTGGCCCTCACTGCTCTGGGGTTCCCTCTGGGTCCCCTCTGTCCCCCACCCCGCTGGACCAGCCACCCCAGCAGCTGCTGGGGGCCGGCGTGGCAGCCCTGCCTCCGTGCTGGAGCCCTGCTCCTCCCTTCTGTGGGGGGTGGCTTGTTCTTGGGACACCGGCCTGGGTGGGACCCTGACCCCACCATGGCTCCGGCCATTCTGGGCCTGGTTTCCTCCTCTTTCAGTTCCTCCTCCAGTGCACCTGTCTGGGAGGGACGCATCCTGGGGCTTCCTGGCGACAGAAGCAGGCACTCCCAGGCCACTTGGTGCGTCCCAAGCTCTGTATGCTGTGCATGCCCTAATAGAGCTAATGCCCTCGGGAAGGCGGTAAGTGCTGCTGTTTCCCGCATCATGGGACAGGGATCGGAGACGCAGGGGACGTTCACCACCTGCCCCTGGTCGCACAGCCTCAGAGCAGCAGAGCGGGCCTGGCCCCAGCCCCTCTGCCCCCTTTGCTGTGCTCCTCTCCACAGTGGCTGTCTAGCTCTGTATTCGGACGCAAACCGAGACTCAGGAAGGTTTTGAGAGACAGATCAGAGAACTCGGGGCCCCCTCCCCCTGCCCAGAACTTCCTGTTGACGCCTTTTCTCAGCCCCCGCCCCCGCGACCCAGACCAGCACTTGCCTTGAAGGGAAAACGCCTCAGCCGCTGTCCCCAGTGTGTCACTGGGGTCTTCCCAGGGAGGGTCCCCGGTCCCGCTGGTGGCAGCCCTTCCACGTGTGCTGGCTCCTCGTGATGGTGGTGGCCCCAGCGAGAGCACCCCTGCGGCTTCCCAGAGCCCGGCTCTCCGTGCTGTGCCGGGGGCCGGGGGAGGGGCGGCCTGAGGCTGCGCACCTCTGGCAACAGTGTTGCAGAAATGGAGCTGGGCCTTGTCAGCGCCCCTCTCGGGGAGCTGCGCTCCGTGACTCTCTCCATGGCGACGTGACCTTGAGCACTGGGCAGGGGCGGGTCTGTGGGGTGTCCCCCTGTAGAACCCCGGTTTTCGTGGCCCGTGGGAGTGATTGCACAGACACCTGGAGGCTGTGCGACGACGCTCGGGCCTCCCAAGCTGTGGCCCACAAACCCAGTCCATGGTTGGGGGGGTTGTCTAGGGTTACTCCGGTGCCCTTTGCCCAGAGGTGATTTTCCACTTCCTCTGTCCTCCCTCACGTGCTGACCGGAGTGCCCGTGCCGACGGGCTGTCCCTCCCCCGGGGGGGAGGGTGCCAGCAGTGACCCGTTCAGAGCAGCGAGGACCATCCTCTACCCCTGGGCGGAGAGTCCAGGCCTCGCACCAGCTGCTGCTCCAGCCACTCCAGACTCCAGTGCTCCGAGGCGCCCCCACCCACACCCCCATCCCCACCCCCACCCCCACCCCCACCCCCATCCCCACCCCCGTGGTGGTGGTGGTACTACTCCTCTCGCCACCCTGTCCAGTTCTTCAGATTCTGGGGCTGCAGGACCCCCCAGGCCCCTCCTAGACTCCTCCTGCCCAGCGGGCACAGCCATTGCTCCCAGGGGCCCTGGTCCTGTGCTGGAGGAAGGGCCTGGGGAGGGCAACCGGGGCCCTGGGGGGCTGCTTGCCTGCTGTCGAAGCTCCGAGGCCCCTCCGCAGAGGGCAGTGCACGTGCCTGTACTAGCCGGGCACACGCACGTGTCCGCACCTTGTGCCGGACCTACATGGAGGGCCACACCCCCCGGCGGCCCCTGGGGATGGCCGCCCAGCCCTACAGGACCCAGTGCCTTTCTCAGCAGGGACAAGTCCCGCTCTCGTCACAGAGACAGGCGCGTCTGCTCAGTTCCCTTGGAGCGTCAGGGTCCCCGGACCCCAGTCCCAGGAGACGTCCCCGCGTGAGGCCAGGCAGGAGCTGCGTGCTCGGGTCCGCCGGCACCGCGTCCAGGGCGCCCGTCCTGCCCGCCCTCGGGAGCGGGTCCCCTGGAGCCCTGGCTCCCTCCATTAGGCGGCCCTCTGTCTGGAACGCTCCCCAGTCCTGACGCTCCACGGTGCTGGTTGGCTCCGTGCGTGTGAGCATGGGCAGCGTGACCTAGGCTCTGAGTCAGAGCAACGGGGCCTTGGGGACAGGGTCGGGGGTGAGCCCCGCCAGAGCCGCTGCTGCTCACTGCCCCCCTGGCTGCGAGTCTCCTGGGGACCCTGAGGGTTTAGGAGATGCTCGCTGCTGGGGGAGGAAGGGCGTGGGCGTGCTTGTGGGAGTGAGGGCAGGCGGGCAGAGAGCTGTGTGGTGAGGGTTTTTGAAGGCTGGGCGTTTAGCCTTGGCTGCTGTGGCTCCGTGGGTTGATCCCCACGGCCTGCGAACCCGACAGCCGCCAGTTTGATTCCCAGTCAGGGCACAGGCCTGGGTTGCAGGCTGGGTCCCCAGCTGGCTGTGATGTTTCTCTCCCTCCCTTCCCCTCTCTGGTAAAGTAAGTGCATAGAATATCAACAGAGAAAATGAAGGCTGGGGGTTAGAGGAGGCTCAGGCAGGGTGGCAATAGCAGACTGGCCATCTTTATGCAGATGTGCCAGCATGAGATCACTCCCTGCACTTCCTGTGTGCTGGGCGTGGTCAGCAAATGGCACTGATTGGATTTCTGCTCTTGTCTCCCCGAGTGGGCGGTGGGAGCTGTTGGCCCTGTGGGTGTGACAGGGGACTCAAGACTTGGAAAATTTTAGCTTAAGGTAAAAAGCTGTAAGTCTAGCATGTACTGTGTATGTTAAACTTTTGTTTGAGAAACTACACATAAGGCCCATCCTGGCTCCTGGGGAAAACAGCCCACCTCCTGGGGGCACTGAGGAAGATTAAGGCCTGGGGACATCGGAACCTTTGTTCCAGGGAGAGCAGAGGACCACCCCACCCCTTGGGAGCAGCTAACTGCCCAGGACAGGAATGCTGCAGCTTCTGAATCTCGAAGCCCTCACCCCACCTTGTGTGTCCTCCCCCACCCCCTTACAAAAGATCTGGCCAGGAAAGAGAAGGGAAGATGGGTTGTTAGGGTCTGAACCCG